AAATTATTACTTTTTATTGGCAAAGCTCTGCTGGAAGATGAAGCTTACCTGGCTTCCTTCTGTGGAGACCAGAATCAAACAGGTTTGCCTGACTGGTTCCCGGCAGTGTGAGCGGCACCAGTCCCCGGATTGGAGGGGTTGAGAGGGGAAGCTGGCACCAGTCCTATCAGCCCCTTCCCCACAGCAGGAGCAGGCCCATTCACAGGGGACTTGTAGAGGCTGGGCGTGCACTGGCAGTGGGTGGAAATACCCGGAGCGGCGAACCCACCCCTCACACACATGGTAGGGGTGCACCTGTGCCGAGGAATTTCAGTTCTAATGTCTACATGATGGAGGCTGTAAGCAGAACGGTGCCGTGGTCAGGTTTGCCTTTAAAAAGGCCACCGTGCTCCAGTGGCCTGTGGCCAAGGGATGGTTCTGGATGGCATTTCGGCCATCAGCCCTGGGAGGGTGATTGTGGGAAGGAAGGCGGTGGCAGTAAAGACAAACCTAAATGAAATTCTGCTGGTAGAGTGAATAGTCTGTTATGTCTCCTCTCTCCGCACCTGGGCAGCGTGGTGGGGATAAAATCAAGGAGAAGCGGGTTTGGTGGGAGAAGGGCTGACGCTCAGCGTGGGCCATGCGGACATTGAGGTGCACCCAAGGGGAGAAGGTGCAGGTGGGGCACAGAGCATGGTTCCTTACACAGACCAGGGAGCTGCTGGTACTGAGGTGGTGGTTGACGGGTAAATGTGGGGAGGATCGCCCAGGGGAGGTGCATGAAGACACAAGGGGGCCAAGGAAGGAGGTCTGGAAGCACCCACATTTAAAGGGCTGTGGAAGGAGGCTGAGAAAGAGAAGGTCCAGCCCAGGGAGGAGAACCGGAAAATCAGTGTTACGTAAGGAGGAGAGGAGGGAGCCATTGGTGGTGCCAGATGCTTCCCAGAGGTCAACCGCGGTGCATCCTCGCCTCCACTTGGTCACCAGTGACCTTGGCAATGTCAGGCTCAGCCCCAGGGACAGCGAGGGAAGCCAGGCTGCAGGGGTCGAACAGATGAAGCAGGGAGCCCTCGCCTGCTGTCGAGAGGACTGGCTGGAAATGTAGCTTGGCCAGCGGCTCAGCTGAACCCACACTGGCTGGGCGTCTCCTGGGTGCCAGGCGCCAAGCTGGGTCTCTCTTATCTGATATCCAAGTGAACCCTAAGATGGTGGAGGAAGTGGGGGTGCAGAGCAAGAGTACATGGTCCCCGTCCTGGAGGCGGCAGCCTGGGGTGGGGGGGTAGCCTCCTCACCACATGGTGGTGCCAGCAGCTGCAGAGCCAGCCCGCCTGCCCCTGGACCCGCCTTCCGCTTGCACTTGGCTTCTCTCTGTTGCTCGCACCTCATCTGTGAAGTGGAGAACCGTGGGGATTGAGTGACTCGTTGCGTGGGTCTGCCTGGCTCTGCGCTCGGGTCTGGGCAGCAGAGGCCAGGAGGAGGGCGCCCTGTCCTCACAATAGTGAGTGGTGGCCACGGCGCTTTTTCAGTGAAGTCTTGTTTGGGAGCTCTCCGAGAGTCTTGGTTTTAGCAGTAACTGACAGGTGGCATTTAACGTCTATCTGATAGTTTTGAATTTGTGGAGGGAATGACTATGCAGCTCACTTTTCTTATTGCTAGTTCTTAAATAAACTTTTTTAATTGAAGAATAACATGAAGACCATGTACGAAAGCATACTTAAGGGTATGACTTGCCAAGTGATGTCACAGTCATCGCCCAGGTCAACCAGGAGGGCTACCAAACATAGAAGCCCCTCGTGTCCTAATTGTAGATATGGCTGAAGGGGCTAATTAAAGGAAATCTTTCATCTATTATCCAAATTTTCAAAATTGTGGAGGAAGTGACTTTTAAAACCACCCTGAGCACTAGTACTGAAATACCAGGAGGTTAATGAAATTGATTAGTGTCTAGTGAAAGAGCAAACATTTTCAGTATGTAGTAATGGCACCATTTAAGATTTAGGCAAAGTTCATGTCACCAAAATTGGTTAAGTGTGACACCAAGATTGAGAAACTATTACATCCTAATGATAAAGATTCCAGATCCTTTTCAGTACACTTAAGTGATTGTGTGTGTTTTATTTATACATTCTTTCATCCATTCATGCATGTATACATTTATTTAAAATATGTACATACTCATTTGTTGAATGATCAAATGTAGACAGAGACTGAACAGTTATATAAATAGCCCAGCCAGTATAATCTGGGGATAATATTCATGTGTTTTATGTGTTAACATTTAAATGTTCTAAACATCATGAGTAACTAATGACTATAGGTGCAAGAGACAGTGCCTCCCTCCCCCTGGCATTCCATTTCCTTTGAGTTGTGTTTGGGGCGGGGGCTCATCCACTTGCGCAGACCGTCCTGGCGCTCCTGTAGGAGGGCTTTTGTGAATTCACCCTGACGTTTGCAGTATCCTTTGAGGGTTGGACCTTGGCCCTGTCTTTGATGGCGATGGTCAGTCTGGCTTTTGCACACCCCAGTGATTTCGTTTAGCAATGTGTTAAGATGAGGCACACAGACCTGTCCTGTATCGAGCCCATTTCCATACGGCAGAGAGGATGCCCAGACCTTACAACAGCCACTGTACATTCTCCTCTCCCCTGGCTGTTCTCTTCCTCAGGTTGGATGCGTTCAGTATTCTTCATTCACTTCTCACGTTTTCATGAGTTATCCTATGGTTCTAAAGCAGTCTGTATTTTAGAACAGATTTATGAATCATTTCCTCCATTTGTATATATGGTTAGGAAAAACACCAGAATTATGGTAATAGAAATAAATATAAGTAAAAGTTCTAGTAAAGTAAAAAACAATGCTACCAGGTATTAGAAGTGAGAACTTCACTTTTTTTTTGGTATCATTAATCTACAGTTACATGAGAAACATTATGTTTACTAGACTCCCCCCATCACCAAGTCCCCCCCACAAACCCCATTACAGTCACTGAGAACTTCACTTTTTTGATAATGAAAATGGTAGAACAATTAATGGACAATAAGAATTTTAGTTGAGCATGTGGCTCATGCTTTGTGCAACCCCGTCGTTGTTCTGTGAGAAGCTTTGTTGTGGAAGTGCTCTTTGCTCAGGAACTCATTCACTCTTTCTAGCCTCTAAGTAGGACATATGGAATATTCATTTGCATTTGGATTTTCATGAAATGAGGATTTTAATAACATCTTTGATTTGTCCTAGAAAGTTCCTCAAGTCTCCCCTTAGCATAGAAAACATTTCTAGAAAATGCCCACAAAGCTCTTTAGATACCCTAACCCAGTTTAGTCAGGATACTTGTTCATTTTCTATGAGCTTTGAGATCTGTCACTGCGGCCGTCCAGCTGAAGAGCATCTCTGAGACTGGAGTGAAATGAAAATGCATTAGAGCTGATAATCAAAAGCCCCCTCTGCTCTCCCCCAGGCCCCTCAAAGAAGAAGTAAATTAGCAATCAACCAAATAATCATGATTTTAAGGTAATTTCCCTTTGGTCGCTGGAACTTCAGATGCCCTCTATGACACTTTTTGCAGCTGTTGGAATCTGATCTTAGATTTTATCTTTGAGTTCACATAATGATTTTTAAAATGTTCTAATATACATCTTCAAAGACCCCAGATCAATATGCCAATGGTTGTGAAATGACAGAGTGCTGTGATATTCCTCTGTGATTTAAACATGATTAGCTGATGAAGGTTATGATCAATACACTATGGGGAGATAAATTAATTGATATCATCCTTTCAGGATGATAAGAGGCCTGTTGGAGGTGGGATGTAACTAATGAAGCTGCTGCCTTATCTCTGTGAGCCATCTTTTATATATTGCATTTTCACTTAATCATATTTATACTATCATTCATTTACATGAAAGCCATAAGCTGTGGACAAACCAGTTCCTTATTAAAATTTTATTCATTTGGAAAAGAAATTATCTGTGGACACTGTGTGCTCCTTCTGTATTAGAACCCATTGCTGGGGACAATGATGTGGTCCTTTGCACGGCTATCTTTAAAAATAGCAACAATCTGGGCAAAGACAAGGATTGAATATCATTGAACTTAATTACAGCTCGTCCCCAAAGACACACATCTATTCAAATAAAAGCTGTAGTTACTCTCCTGTAGTGACACCTCTTGGTGTAGGAAGAGTTTTCTAATCGTTGACTTCCTTTCCAATTAAATCCAATATGCTTTATCAGCGAGCCTATTTGCCAAAAGTAGTTATGGCTGGTTGAATTTAGATTTGTATTGATTAAGATAAACTTCCAATGTGTGTGGTAATATATTTGAATAAAGTCTTTGATATAATTACTTGTCCTTGGATATAGTTCTATGCAGCAGCTTATAAAGTTAAGAGTAATTCCTTAGGCTGTGTAAGGATAAAAGAAAAGAATTTTGATTTTTTTCAAGGGGGATTGGTTAAATTGCCCTATTATATTTGGGATTATTTTTGCTGCAAGTTAACTAAGTGGAAGAAAAATGACATTAGAATAATTTAAACAAGACAGGTGTATATTTTTTGTTTGGTTTATACTCAGAGCTTCTGAGGTGGTCTGTGCAGGGCTTGCTGAAGCCTTCCGTGGAGTCGGAGGGCCGGCCCTTCTTCCAGGTATTCACCGTGTGTGGCTTCTGTCCCCAAGGTGGCTGCTGGGACTACAGCTAATATATTGCATTTTAAGCAGCAACAAGGAAAAAGACAAAAGGAAGGCATGGGCCCAGGGCAGCTCTTACGAGCAAGATCGCTGGAAGCCCCACATGATCCTTCTGCCAGCCATTGGCCAGTTTGCTTGCATGGCCATATTTAGCTAGGGTGCAGGGGGATGAACTGGAGGCAGGTCTGGGGAGTGTCGCACTGATGCTGGGAGCCAAGTGCCCAACCAGACACCAGGAATTCGATTCCCACAGATTACAGGGGCAACTGCCATCCTCTGCCACGTTCCTGGGTTTGTAAACAGACTTACATTGGTTTCTTTTGTCTCCCTGCCCACTAGTTGCCCAGAAGATTGTTGCCACAAGAAAGAAGCAGCAGCTGTCCATAGGGCCTTGCAAGTCGCTGCCCAACTCTCCAAGCCACTCGTCTGTCTGTTCTGCACAGGTGTCTGCCGTGCATATAAGCCAGGTACATTGGGCGCCCGGGAAGTTGGGCTGAAAGGCATGGCAGATCCCGGGAAGGTACGCCTGTCCGAAGAATATCCTCAGCCAGTTCCAACGTGCATTCATTTTTCTTTTCAACTTTATAAATAACAGCATGTTGGTAATTGACTTAACATTTCCTTCAGAAGCTGCTGCGGCCAAATGGTTTTATGGGAATCATTCTTTAATGTTTTCTGTCTTCATGCTGCCTGTGTTATGAGGCATGCCGGCTTGAGCAGGGGTGAGGTGTGCATCGCTGTCTTTGCTGTTGATTTAGATCGCCCTGCGTCGGTCCTGGTTCTCGTGTACTTATAGGTTGAACAGTGTGAGTAAATCTCAGTGGCGAATCCCACTGTATGCTTGAATTTGGTGGCAGCCCTCAATTATAATTGCCATCTCCCTTAGGCCCAATGGAGACTACTGTCTTTCCGTAGTAACATTTTGCTAAATTATTCACTTGGAAGCAAACAAAATAATTGTCACTTTGAAAAACCTAACTTGAGCCTGTTGAGCTGTTGACTTGGTCTTGTCTTCACGTGTGCTTCTGATGAGCATTTCGTGCACAGGCGTTATACTGGCAGCGTGTTAAGGGATGCAGCAAGGAGGTTTGGTATCATCTTTTGGTTTTCTTGGGAAGGTAGTAATTGCGTTTACCATGAGGACCTGTAAAGGTAGAGCCAAGGATGTGAATGTCTCCACCAAAAGCATCTTTAATTTTCAGTGACTCTTGAAATATCTTCCAAAAGCATTCGTATTTTCAAGAAGTCACTTTCAAAGTGTGAACTGGGGTTCAATTAGGCAAAACAGTGCTCTTTCTCTGTCTGATCTGAAACAGTGAAGGAACCACAGATCCCATTTAGTTCTACCAACCCCTTCATTTTTTTAGAGAAAAGAGAAAATTACTACATTTTTCCTCTCCCAGATTTTTAAAATTAAATGGCAGACTTCTCTTTCTTTAGTCATTATTCTGAGACAAAGCAACAGGGTGCCAAAATCTGTGTTCTAGAACGAGGCCGTTTGTGCTTGCTGCAGGTATGACAGCAAGGTCAGAAGGGCTGCCTGACCTGTCGTGTTTTGAAGGACTTGTCTTCAGTGTGACTTGTCGTGACCCCACAGAGGTGGCGGCAGTAGGTGCCTGGAGTGTGTCATTAATAGAACCTTGGCTTTTAACTGTTACAGACGAGCAATGGAGGTGGGAGTTTAAGTGACTACTCCTCGTCCGTCCCGTCGACGCCGAGCACCAGCCAGAAGGAACTGCGGATCGATGTCCCTGCCGCCAACACGCCCACACCTGTCCGGAAGCAGTCCAAGCGCCGGTCCAACCTGTTCACCGTGAGTGTCCGCCCTGGAAGGAAATTTGGGTGTGAATCTGGAGAATGCAGTTAGTATTAATCTGGTTCCCCACTGGTTCAGTGATATTTGTAGAATCAAAAGTAAATTAGTGAGAATAGCACTCATTTCCCTGGGAGTCTAAGAAAATCATGAGAAGCAAAGGTGTGGGTATGGAGCAAAGTGGGAATTTCTCAGTGTGCATGGAGCTCAGGTATGTGTGTCACAAATGAAGAGCAAGGGGCTGGTATGAAGATATTTGTTACCTATGTCTTTTTTGGTCTGTAGCTAAAGGCTTGTCACGTCAGATGTGAGGTGATGGCACAGATGCTCAGACTCGCAGACGTGTGCATCCGAGCTTTCCGTCAAGATGCATGAGCCATTTCTGCCCCTAGACCTTCTCCATCCTCAGGCTGGCAGTGCCTGGAGACTTAGCGCAGGGGGAGCCTTTCTGCAGCAGATACTTAGGTGTGTTCAGAGGCTCCTTGGTGTAAGGCTCTCCACCTGGACTTTTCTTCAGTCATGCATGGAGCATTTTAAAACCAGATCAGCTGTGTGAGCTTAGATGTAGGAACACAGTCTGTGTGTGGGGCCCAGGCATGAGTAGTTTTTAAAAGCACCTTGGGCCTCTGGGGTGGGGAGAACCACAGAGGAGGCCAGATTGCTGCTGCCCTGGACAGTCCTTTGCGTGCAGCAGACATTATGGAATGAAGGCTGTGCAGTTGAGCCCAGAACTCCAGAGCCACCGTCATATGACAGGAGTCATTTGACTTGAGAAGAATCTTTTCCATCTCAAAACAGGTCTGTGCGTTACAAGGACATGTTTTTAAACCTGTGATTCTCAACCGGGACACTTTTGCCCCTTGGGGAACATTTGGGTGTTCCAGGAGATCACAACGGGGGACAGGGTGGGTCAGGTACTGCCAGCATCTAATCATGGTTAGCAGCTGGGGTCGCTGCCAAGCCCCTACAGTGCCCAGGTCGGCCCCTCACCAGGACAGCCCAACCCCTGGCGGCACAGGTGCCCGTTTCACACCATTCACTTCCGGTTGCTCGCTGCCGACTTGGGTGCAGGGAAGCTGGGTGTCTCAGCTAAAGGAGGGCTCTACAGGCTTGGTGGGGGTCTCGTCTGACCGGCCACCCTCATTTAGAAGTGGGAGCAGTTGATGTCATATGCATCTGCCACTGACTGTAGAGCCCCATCCTTCCCTTTCCCACCATGTTGAGGTGGTTATCCCCGTGGACAGTCACGGATGCCAGGGTCTGGTGCCACCAGCACACACCCCTGTGCCACATCGGCTCTGGCAGACGCTTGGCCGGGGGCAGAGTGAGCACCGCACAGACCAGCCTCGGCCCCAGCCCCCACTGCTGCAGCTGTGTGACCTCAGCAAGTTGCTTTGCTTTACCTGTGAGCTGGAAACAGTAACAGTCCTGCAGCAGGGTGGCTGGGACACATTCCTGCAGGGCAGTGTCCCGGCTTCCATGTGTGCCCCACCACCACGGCTGTCACCACGACGATCTCTGATAGTGCTGATACCCAGAGGCAGGCACAGCTGTGTGAGAGGCTGGGATGGGGTAGCTGGGTTTGTGCTGCAAATCACAGGTTAGTATTTGATGAGCTTAAAGTTACACCCGAATAAGATGTTTCATTGTGAAATTTCTTTAGACCCACCGAGAAGAGAAGCAGGCACCTAAATAGCACTCCTGGCTTTGTGTGACACTCACAGGTTCGCCTACACCCGTCAGGGTCTTTAGGTTGAGAAGGTGTCACTCACAGAACAGGCTACGTGCTCGTTCATGTCTCGGTGAACTTGAGAAACCAGTTGCCGAAGATACTGAGGGTTGGCGGTGAGCGGGACGCCAGCATAGCGGGAGGAGTGCAGGCTTCTGTACGTGCGCAGTGCCTCCGACCTTCGCCATGCCTGGTCAGGGCATTCTGAGGGGACCGCCAGGCTCAGCGGCCCTTCTGGGGCTGCCCTTACTGGTCATTGGCTTGGTTCTGCTGCAAGGGAGGAGTTGAGAAGCTAGGAAGTAGCTTTAAAAATGGGGCTGTTGGTCAGGAGAGTCCAGCCTGTCCCCTTCCCCACCCTTTATAAGGGCAGCTCTGGAATGGAAATGTGTTGGAAAATAGTGTCCCAGGCCCTGCCCCCTGGGTAACTGTGACCACCCCGAAGGCTGACAAAGGAGGAGACTGTAAGGCAGGAGAATAAAAATAATAACTGAGGTAGTAATACCTCCTGACTGTGCTGTCTGCAGTCCTGGTTTCCTCTCTCAGGGGTACTTGTTGCCAGAGGCCACCCACACTCCAGAGAAAGTGGTTTAGAGAGAAAGGGGTCAGGGCAAGAGGTGAGCAGAGACCTAGAGGTAAGGGGCCCTCTCTCTGCTTATTCAAGCCACACACACTGTGTGCCACGGTTGGGCATCCAGGCAGAGACTGGCCTCCGGATGTCCAGTAAAAGCCCGTCCTTATGGTTACTAAAAATCCCCATCAACTGTACGTAATTCACGTACCTAATGTACAACGGCCTGCCTGTGACCTGTGTGCTATCAGTGGTGGTTCCTCTCTTTACATGCTAGAAAACAGTTTGAAAACAGTCTATTTGAGAAATGGAATCCAGCTGCACTCCTGTTATCCGGGGGAATAGAAATTTGGGGTCGTGAACGAAGCTAATACTACAATGGTTTTGCATTAAGGCGTTGAAGGGAAAGACAGCTGAGATCCTGGGCAGGACGTGATAGGTTGGCCGTTACTGGATTTGACGTTGAACAAAATGATGGTGGTGGTGATGGTGACATGTGGGCATTTTTAAGTCGAAGATCTTAGAAATATTAACTCCACTAGATGTCAGTGTCATGCAAGCAATGAAAAGAGGCAAATTAATTTTGACATTGTAGCAATTAAGAAATTAAATTCTCATTGTTACTCGTTTGCACCTATCTTTAAATATGGAGAACTTCATAGACTCCTCGTCCCTGGCAGTTGGTAATTATTGAGTTAAACTGGCAAAAAGTACATTTATTTAAATGCGTTTATTTAAAAGCATACAGTAGGAGGACAGATATGCCATATGTCAGGTAATCTTAGTGAATAAAATCTATGCAGACTGGGACTGTAAGACCCAGTTGAAGGGGCACCGTCCACTTTATTTATTAGGCCCTCATAAAGAGGCCAGAGTTAATTAAGTTGTGCACACATCATCTTTCAAATACATGCTTATAAATTTTATAAAGTCAACCTGTAATGCACCCCTCTGGGTGAAGCCTTACAGCCCCAGATGTTTCTGTTTGCACTTGTACATGTTTTTAAACAAAAATCACGTGAACTTTTGTTACAGACTACAAACTTAAAAATCTCTCCTGCAGGTACAAATTAAGTGTTATCTTGCAGTAGGAATTGTGCTTCACTAATCAAAAGCTAATTGTCTTATTTTGCTTATTTCTTTGAAAAATGTTATTGTGTTTTAAAAGCAAATATTAAAAGGTCATCTCCATTCAATACATTCATTCAAGATGGGCTTTCAGGACAATTACTATAGTAGCCCTAATTTGCATGTGGTTGAAGTGTTTTATTAGAAAATGTTTTCATACATATAGAAATAATCACATGCATATGCCCACCATGCAGCTCATCAAATACAGGCATTTTGCTGCTGCTCTTTCAAGAAATAGACAACTCTGAGGCACTAGTTGAAGCCCTCCAGGTCTGCCTCCCGGATGCATTCCCCGGCCTCCCTGTCCAGGGCTCAGCTTGAACTTGAATGTGGCGTTTACATCTGTGTCCATGTTTTAAACTTACTCTTGCATGTGTCCATAACTGTGCATTGCATTGTGCTGCCTTTGCTCAAGCCTTATCACATGTCATTTACATATTTTTTAAAAGCTTACCATGTAACACTGATACCATTAAACAGAGCCAAATGAACCCAATAACCAAAGGCTCTGAAGAGATCTTTCCAACTCATAGAAACTTGCTGTAAAAATAAGGTAGCAAAATATGGCAGTAGAAACAGAATTTTGTCTTTCCTAGAGGAGAGCGTGGGTCCAGCCCGCTTAGCCTGTGGATTGCTAACAGGGGAAGAGCAGGTTCCGTTGGATGGCGAGCGTGCTTCGGAGCAATGCTTCTTGTCCCTGCAAGCAAGTAACTGATGGGATGTCCCTTCATGGCTTTTTCATCACAGGGAGAAAAGTTGAACATTTCTATGAAGAAGGAGGTGCAAATGAGAATATCTTAACCTTTCTCTCCTCTGTATTCAGTGTTCGTGGAGACCGTGCACCCTTCCGGCTTGCTGCCGACCTACGGGGAGGGGTGTGATAAGCTCTTGTTAGCTTTGCAGTTGTGCATGTCAGGCTGGTGGCAGCACAGAACCGAGCTCTGCTTTGTGTCTGGTGGCTTCTCGGAGTCATTTCCACAGCCATGCAGTAGGTGCTGTTGGAGACGGCGTCCCAGAGTCGGCAGGAATATCAGGGGAGCTTACGGGGCGTTTACGTGCCGCGCTGTTTTATGTCCATTGGGTTTGTTTGAGTTTGACTTGTTGGATTTCAGGTTTATGGATATGCACTACGGGGCTGGTTGTAGAAAAAGTAACTGCGGGATGGAGATACTGCAAACCCTTCTGCCCAACAGCTTGCCAGCAGTGCCTCCTCAAAATCCTAGTTTTAGGACTCTTCCTAAAAATGTTAGTGTAGTCAGGAAATTTGTGTTTTATTTGAGCATTGAAGTCTTTCTTAAGTGTCAGTCTCATTCATCTAAGGCTATGTGGTCAAACGTGGAACTTAGATCTTCCTAACTCGGCTTCCTATGGAGTAAGGAAATTCTGCCCCAGGAATAGTGGCCATGGGGGACAGATGTGCTGCCTTGAGGAAGATATTTTTTTTATTTTTGTTGTGTTCGTTGTTCTGTGTAATAGAGAATAATGAAGATGAATTTCCAAATTTCATAAAATTTGTGATCTGTGTGCCATCAGTGATCTAATTTAAATTTGCTGAAAGGTCATCACTGTAGCTTTAAATCTCATTTTACAAAAAGATAACCTCAAGTTCCAACTTTCCCATGAGTTGAGATGTGGGGAAAAGAGAATTTAGGGCCATTTCATAGCTCTTAACTATTCATTAATTATTAAATAATTAACTAAGGAGACAAGTGAGTTAGCCTAGCCCCAGGCTAAAATTCATGACAAGGAATTGGTAAATATCTCTTCTTCCCTCCTAGCCCAAAGGGATGAAGCCTTATGTTTTATTTTCTAATGCAACCTTCTATTCGTTGCTTGGTTTATTTCCTGTTAGGTCACTCCAGGCCTCCACCATCCTAAAGAAAACAAGCGCAGAGTACCTGGCACATAACAGGTGGCCAATAATGTCAGTTCTCACACTCATCAACGTAGCATGTTTTCTGACGAGCACGCGTGCCACTAAAGTGCTGCATCTGTGTTTATGTCGTGGGGACGTCTCTCCATTACGTCCCACGACCTTGCTCCTTTTAAGATTAAAAAAGATTTTAGAAATCAACTGCTCCGTCTCATACCCCTTTGAAACTGGATTTCATTAGCTTTTCATTGCAGCACAGGACACCACGAAGTCTTTCCGTTTCATATATCATCTCAGATTTGAAAAGCACATGAAAACGTTTCTCCATTTCCAATATTGCGTGAGTAATGTTCCCATTGAAAAGTAATGGAGTGAAGTTGTCACTTGTCAGCACAGTTATTAAGGAGGACGAGTCTCAGATCTTTCTCTCATAATAAAATAAATCTGTCAGAAAACCGTTGTGCTCACACTTTCTCATGCCATCGAGAGATGGAGGCTCAGCCGTCGGTCTCCTTCCGTTTCCCCAAGTCACGACGGGCTTTAGGCTGTGGCCTCCCTGGGCCGACCGTCGCCACCTTCCCCGCCGATCGCCAGCTCCCAGGCCGTTCACGGAATGTCAACAACAAGGCCAGGAAAACTGCTCCAGGAACTCGGCAAATGAAGCTGCTCGTTTTTCCCTGACTGCTGTTTTGTAGTCAGGGAAACGATATTTTTAACATTTCCCCCGTGTTATTCTTCATGGTGGTGTACACTAGTTTGACTTTGAATTTGATGTTTTCTAACCATCCAGAAGCAATAAAAAGGAACGTTCACAGCACCTTGATAGGAATGAAGGGTGTACCATTAAATTGCACAGCTGAGTTGTTAATACAATTTTTTAAATCCTTCAGACGTTAATTGAATATATGCATTTACGTAGTAGGTTCCCCAGACGAGCAGCGAGGAGCAGGTTCCTCTCCGGCTGGATCAACTGCAGCCTCAGAATGTGTTTTCCTGTTGGGCGTTACTTTTCTATATGGTCCATTGGTTTCTAGTAATTGAATTTTGAACTCTTTAAAATAGAATTAACAGGTAATTTTGCAGTGGGAAAGTCAGGGGGAAAGTTTAGAAAAATCTCAGTAATGTGATGGATCAGTGGATGTGAGCTACATTGACAGCCTGCTTCTGGGATGTGAATGTGGATGCAGGTGCCTGTGCATGGGTAGTTCATCCACAGCCTCTAAATAGGTATTTCCAGACACTGTGCAATGGGGGCAGAACTTAGGCAATCTGTGAACCATAGTCCCTGACCAAACACTAACTTTGTTTTTCCTTTGCAGTCTCGGAAAGGAAGTGACCCAGACAAAGAGAAGAAAGGCCTGGAGAGCCGAGCAGACAGCATTGGGAGCGGCCGAGCCATCCCCATTAAACAGGTGCGCTGCTTCCCCCTCTTCCCTGCCCTGTAACTGGAGACGCACCTCAGGTCTCTCCGTGCTACGAAGCTGGCTTGGTCCCCAAGGCTTGTTTGATGTGTACTGTTGATGAATGTAGAAGTCCCTCACTTGACATCAATTAGAAGAGGTTCCTGTGTGTATTAAAATAGGATCATTAGAATAAGAAGAGGGAAAATGTGACAACAGATCTAATGAAGTGCAGTCTGCCCGCCTGCATATGGAGTGTGTTTCGAGGCTGAGCTGGCTTCAAAGGCTGCCTTTGTAGCTCAGCTTTGATTGGGCCGCTGGCCGCCAGTCGACAGGGGTAAATCAGATCGCCATACAAGAGCCCCTTGTGATCACAGGAATAGCCCGATGTGGCCCTAATTTGCTCTCGCAGACGGACATCTGAACACTGTTTCAGGCTGGTTTGTAACAACGAGGCAATTAGTTGTGATAATCATAGCCGGTGTGTCAGCTGTGCGCTCTTGTTTGTAATTTGCTAATGAAGGAATTGTAACTTTGATTAGGTTCAGTTTCATTTAGACCTTATTATATAAAGGAACATTTACAGCTGTAATGTGGGGCCTTAATTAAACTTCCTCATTACACAACAGGACTTGAATTCAAGCATTTGTTTTGGCCTAGGTTGCTAGCCTGGAATAGGTTTTCATTAGCCCAGAAACCGGGCACCAAATTACTTTAGGTCTCAAGTAAAACAGGAATTCACATGACATGTTTTGCTGTTACATTTCCAAGGAAAATAAAAATAAAGGGTTTGGCCTGGTATTGTGGCTTCTGGAGATAACATCTTTTGATTTTGCTAAAGATGACCAGTGGATTTCCAGTGCATTCTGCCTGAGTGAGAGAGAAAAACCTGTGGGCAAGGCAGGAGCTCTGCCTCGCATGACCACCGCCGTGACCACCGCCGTGACCACCGTTGTCTCTTGGCGATCCCCCCTGCCGCTGGCTACCGTGGGCACCCAGACACTTTTACAAATCCTTTAGGAATTCATGTTAGTGCTGGCCTTCAAAAGGGCTGGCATCTTCCCACAAATACAGTTTTTGCTCACTTGAAACAAGTAGGGATGCAGCTTTAGGGGCCAGGCAGTTTGGGGTGGGGTGGGGGAGAAAGTTAGGACTCTGGCACCCTGGGTGAGACCAGAGCAGGGAGTCCGTGGGGATTTTTTTACAAGTCACATTCAGACATGCGATGAATGTGCGGACTAGTGCAGGGCCCCGTAAGGAGAAACCTTTTCCTTCCTCTTTGCTGGTGGGTGATGTCTTTGCTCAAACACAGGTTTTCTTTAATCTGGAAGCACATGCACATAGGTGCTTATTCTTACTTTGTGCATTTACATTTATTTACAAACCTAACTGTCTATATTAGGTCATTTTCATGTGTGCTTTTTATGCTATTGATGCTGTTTCAACTAAAATTATGAAAGTCATTGAACTCTTCTCATTTTAAAAACTGATCCTAGGACATTTCCTATTGGGAATATTAAAAATACTAGACTGTTTTCTTTAATTCATGTCTACTGTCGATTAGAGCAGAAGTGGTTACCTCCACGTGAGCAGGGCAGGCCCCCAGTGTAATTGGAACCTTCACTCAATCTGTACCCCTGCTCTTCTGCAGAGGGGTTCACTTGACAAGTGAGGTTTTCAATATGTGTGCAGATCGGAGTTGACCATCAAGCGTAAAATGAGTATTACCTAGTCCTTGGAAGCCTTTCAGTTGTGAATGTTCAAAATAACCTTGATGAAATCTAAATCCTGGTCTGACTTCTCATTGAATCATGGCACACGGAGGTCCTTGTCACGCTTAACTGCCCCCACGTGCAGCCAGACAAACTCCTTCCCGAGGCCCACACCTGGTGGGTCAGTCCCCCTGTGGCAGGATGTTCCAGGCACCAGACCCATCATCTGTAAAACGGGGCACTGGATGATAGCTGATTCCCTTGAAATACTGATACGTGGAGATTCTAGAGAGAATTTTTAAATTCCAGTAAAAGTGGATTTTCAAATTGGTCGTGCTCAGGATCTCTTTGTGAGAGCCTTCCTGTGGGTCACAGAGATTGATGTGGGTTTGCAGATGGTTGTAGGGATTCATCTTGCATGCCTGTGTGTGCGCGTGTTTGTAAAGGAGCCGAGATCGTTAGCCATAGTCTGGATTCCTACCCCTCCCTGCCTGATGACTTCGGCTAGTAGAAAGGAAAGGCGAGGATGGCAGAGGAAGGAGTCCAGTGCGGCAGCGTCTGCCTAGCATGTTCTAGACGCTCGACAGCCCTGTTTGGTGAGTAAATGAACAAGTAAATGAATTCTGATCATTGAGCGCCTTTCTTACAGCATCCCACTGAATCCTCGGTATTGTCCCCCGTTGACGTAGCTGTGTTGTTCTCGTCTCAGAGTAAACCTGGATCTGGTGCGCATTCTGGACCAGGCAACTCAGGAAGCCGTGGGTCAGGATTGGGACCCAGGTCCCTAGGCCCATGTTCTCACCACTGCCTGTGGATGGAAAGCCTTCAGAAAGCTTAGAAAACAAAGTTGTATGTTTTAAATTTATTATGTGAACCCTGACCATGGAAAAAAAATACCTTATGCTCATGTAGAATTAACTTGTAAGACCATGCCTACAGCAGGGTGCTCGTCCAGAGGTCGTGCGCTGCCCTGTCTGTCCTGGAGTGTGAGGGTCGCTTTGTCCCATCTTTTTTGCGCACACATTTCAGGCCCTTTTCACCAGCACAGAGCACTTTGTCTTAAGGCTCAGCCTGTGTTCAAGGCCTGGTGTGCATGTTGGGGCACAGAGCACTTTGTCTTAAGGCTCAGCCTGTGTTCAAGGCCTGGTGTGCATGTTGGGGCACCGCACCCCGGCTCCTGCGCCCTCCATGGTGCCCAGCAGAGAACCTCCATGGGACCTCCGCCACCTTCACGGGGCAGGAGTGGCGGTGATTTTCAGACTGGCCAGTCTTTTTGATCATTACAGACTCTTTTTTTCCCCTCCCTGCAGGAATCTTCTAACGGATGGTGTAGGGCACAGGCGAGGCCGTCTGCAACACGCTCTGTGACCTGACTCCTGTTTTACAGACTGTAAAACAATTCTGGGGAATTATTTTAACCGTGTCTCTCACTCACATTGTACAGCTTGTTTCCCAAGTGGAGGAGTTAGCTGGATCATGATAGGCAATGATTTCCTCTCTTCCCTTTTTCCCCAGTTCAAGATTTCTCATCAAAAACACGACTTTGAATTCTCTGCAGAGTCCCATCATTTCTTGAGGACCTGGGTCCACCTTACCTTTTTTGTTGTCCCTAGGTTCTCAGAGGAGATTTGGTTCAGAGTTCCATTTCTCCCTCTTCTTCCCCTACTTTTTTTTTTTTTACTAATAAGATACAGCCTATTCGAATAAAAATTAAGAAGCAAAGCAAGAAAAATAAAAAACCAGAGGCCCGGCTCAGCGGCGAGTGGGCTTGTCACGTATTAATTTTTCATTGCTGTGGAGAGTTGTACATACATAATCACTTGATTGCAGTGGGAGTTAGGGAGCGCCTATGGTGTCATTTGCATAAATCTTGTTAAGTCAATGGCAGTTAATGAAGTACAAATGAGCCCGGAGAAGGTGACATGCAAATCGCGGGTGGCAGATGGGAGGTCTGTTTGGGGGACGGCAGCTGTGTGCTCTCCTTTCTTTCTCTCCCTTTGGCATTTTTAATCTCTATATTATGGTACAGATACACAGCCTCGGTGCTGGCCTCTCCCCGCTTCCTGGCAGGCTCCTGGCCGGGCTGCCCCCTCCTGCCCCCGACGCTCCCTCACTCTGCAGAAACAGCCCCTGGCCTCAGACATGGTATCATGTACTGGTGTATATTTGAATTTTTAAAATCTTGATCAGTTTATCTTTGCCATGCTTAGAGAATTGAAAAAAATACATTTTTTTTTTTTGGTTGGGGTAAGAAGAGTCCTCACTAAATCTTTTAAGGCTCANAAAAAAAAAAAAAAAATACTGTCTGCTTTATTATGCATCTATTTGGGATCTGTTCTTCCCCTTCCAGACACAGGCCGGCCTTGTTTCTCCAGCCCCTGGTGCCTCCCCATGTTCACGATGGGTCATGGTGGGTGCATTCCCAGGCTCCGTGCTAGGTACAGGAAGTGTGCGAGGGCCCCACCGTGTCAGGCTGCAGCCAACTCCCCTCACTGTACTGCAGCCCCCCAGAGGCTCCTGCAGGCCTGTCTCATTCATGGCCGGGTATCTCTTGCTGATCATTTGTTTTATAAAGATTTAATGCTAGCAGGACTCACAGCGAGCTTTTAGGGTTTCATGGGCTGCATCCCTTAGTGCTTTTGGAGGTTTTTGTTTATTTCGTGAACTGGTTGATATTTGGAGAGAAGCAATAATCTCCTTTGACGCTGGAGGAAATGCAGGCAGAGAGGTGCGTTCAGGGGACAGGAGCCGGGACAACAGGGAATCGCCACCCCATCTGGCTCCTACTGTGCAGGTCCAGCCCAGCACACTCCCTCATGCTTGGGCCTGGGCAGGTCAGCATGCTTAAATTGGGGGGTGCTCCATGGATACACAGGGGTGTCTTCATAAAAATTTTTTTTAAGTTTTACTTTTGACCTTGTACCCAGATGTCATGGCCACCTCTAGTTGGCAGTCAGTGAGAGCAGGAGGCTTTTCAGCAGCCACGTGAAGCCGCAGGAAGACCCTTTCCAGCTGGCAGCGGACCAGTGGCCTGAGTGGGGCTCCCCCATGGAACTCTGCTATTGGCCTGTGAACCGTTTTGAAGCCATGCAGTTTCAGTTCTCAGTTGAGCAGAAAGAAACAGTTGTCGATTAATGAAGGGAACCTCTGGAGTTAATCTCCTCGGCCAGCCTGCCGCAGGCTGCTGACCTACGTCGTCTGTTACCTGGGATCAGCACGAGGGGGTGGCTCATGCGGCGTGGACAGAATAAAAGCCACCCAATGATGCTCGTTTCGCCGTCCCCTGAAAGTATGACACCA